TATTTTCAGTTAAATATATAAAAATGATTATATTTAACTTTATATTAATTTTACCACATTTATATACAAGCTCTAGGTACTTTAATCAAACTTTATATACTTTATTTTATTGTTTGTTTAGTTCAAATATATATCTACATTTTTAGACTGTAAAAATAAATAAAATAAGGAAATTTTATGTCATAAAGAGGTCATCAAATGTATATATAAAGGAAAAAAGTTGAATGTTTCTTTCCTTATATAATTATTCCTTATTATAAGGAAAAAAAAATTCAATTTTTTCATTTCATTAATGAAAATTTTATTCAACATGTAAAAGAAAAAAGAAAGAAAAAAGCAATAAAGAAGGATAAAGAACAATTAAAGATCAGTAAGTTTGGGGAGTAAAATTTCGCCTGCCGGTCTTTCAATCAACACTTGCAAAAACAAAGATACACAGAAGGAGAAAAGGATATTCCGTAACGACAAAAAAATGGAGTACGAACGTTAAATGCCAGCCACATTTCATCGCTGCAATCATCTTCGGAGGCGTGATGATTTGGTACGACAAAGTGAATATTCACGTCGCACTCGATCTGGCTTTCCTGAGTCGTCATTCCGCTCCGAACATGAAACTGCGTAGTAAACTTGTTTCAGAAACGCGTATAAATACGAGAATGTTGCGCGATAATAAACTGAGGCATTCCGGATCTAATTTAAGATTTCAAGAAATTCGTCGACAAGTTGGAAAATAAGATACGATATTCCTCACACGACTGTCCGTCACAATAATCTCGCGTGCGACAGGTCGGTTGATGTATTGGCGGGACGAATGAATATTCGATGCCAACTGAACGGAAAAAACTAACCAGTTAATTAGAATCTAAGATCGTATTCGTAAATTCACTGTCAGGACAGAAAATGTATAATTCACGTCACGTATATTATAGATTTCGATACTGAGAGTGAATTTACGAACATAGTCTATATAAGGATGCTTATTCTTAAAAAGAAAACAAGTTGCCGTGGATATATGGAACATTGAAGCACGATTGATTTAATTGATAAAATTGTTAATCTTTTAAACTGTATAATTTATTATTGCAAATTTAATTTTTATTTTCATATGTTCAATAAATTAATTTTATATTAATAAAATTTTTTATAACTTCCCTTAAGTTTATTAATCAAAAATTTATTGAAATTATTTTAGCTCTTTGTTACATTTTTCGCTTGCCATATACTAAAATTCAGCACAATAATGTTGAACAATGTTGAACATGTAGTATATGATTTTTGAATAAAGATTTTTGAGATTGTTGATTACAAATCTGAGAAAATTTATCAAAATCTATCAAAATTTAAGAATCAAAATAGGATACACTATGGCAACCAACTTGAAAAAATTAACTATTTTATTTATATATAAAATTTTATACATAAAAATTTTTTAGGCTTTTGATTTCCAATTTGTCAAATTTGAAAATACAAAATGACGAACTCAACATGAAAAAAATTTTTGGTATTTTGTAATCTTGTTTTATTCAAATGATTTTCTTAGTATAAATATACTATAAATATTTATTATCATTCTTCAGTATAAATTTCTTGTAATCTAAAAAAGGTGCTAATTTTAATTGATTTATTGCTTATAACTTATACTTAATTAAAATATGATTAGTTAAATAATAACATATTTACATTATTCATATAATTACATAAATCTTAAAAACGATATCAATGATAATGATATCAAATACATAACACAAATTAATTACTATCAACGAAATATGTAAAAACATACAAAAACTGTGGTAAAATAAGTGGTAAAATAAGTTCTTTACAGAGAGCATTGTGCAAAAGGTTAAATGAATTGACAATTAATTCGGCAAAATTTTTAGTAACATTTTTAATTATATAATTTGTTATCTCACTAATCTTTGTTTTTATATATTTTTATATATTAAATACAGCACTTTTTATACAGCAGTTTTTTATATATTAAATACAGCACTAATAATTTTATATTAACAAAAAATAATATAAATATTTAATAATTAATCATCGATAACACAATAGATAAAATGCAACAAAACTTTAAATTTTTGAATATAATTTTTTGTCACGCGTCTTTAATTAATGAAGGAAATGAAATTATTATTTATAATTCAATTCACGTCAACAAAGTAATACGAATATTTAAATTAATTATTGGTTAAATTAATTTGAATATATATAAAATCCTCAATTATATCCTCAAGCACATTTCGGAGAGGTTTTGATTGCATGACTGCAATTTTCTTGTCTATTTTCTTTTTCTTATTCCTTCGCATTCAACAAGTGGCACATAGCCGCACATGGTCGTTTTTCGAAGACGAACGAATTAGTCAAAATTCGCTAGATCAATTAACACGACTCTGAAGTTCCCTAGTCCCGGCGTAATCCGATTGGTCGTTGCAGCGCGACTCGGCGCGCCGTCGGTCACTTTCAGACGTATTGTCGAACGCAGCCAAGTAGGCGCACGAGAGAACGCTCGCGGCGATTGGCCGGCCAGTAGCGCCTGTGACGGGCATGCGCGTGTACGCGATTTCAAGTTGATGCTCTCGCTGTCGTCCGAAAACGTTCACCGAGCGACGCGGTTCAAGCGCGTTGGCCGCACATACGAAATTTTGGCGGTTCCTCGAAGTTGAAGTGTCCGTCATCGCAAAAGAGAGTAACAAGCGGACGAATTACGCTCGAAAGTCGCAGGTTCCCACGCGTCTCGTTGTTATCCCCCGCGAACATTTTCTCGAGAGCACTTCGATGATGTTATGAAAACCTTCGCCAGGTGTTGCCAGGTGTTACCAGGTGAACGTGCTCGAGCGTTCGCGTTACCTTCCCACCCGCAAGGCGAGGAGAAAAAAAATTTGTGTAGCGAGGAAAGATTTGCGTAGCGAGAGAAGGAGTTCGCCGTCGCGCCGACTTTTCGATACTACGAGGACACGGTTGTGTGTGTTTTACGCGCGTGAGTCGCGCGGCGAGAGTTGAGTGCATCGCGTCGAGAATACGAGACGCGAGAGTGCAAACCAAACGGATAATCCGCGATTAATCGGAGAACACGGAGATCCGGAGGTGAAAGGGAAGAACGGGGAGGAGGATCGATCCCGATCGATACGAGGTCTCTCCCGTCGTCCCGAACGACGCTCTTGCGGATTCTCCTGCGGACTTTGCTGCGGACAGTCAGTTCTCGCGTGTGGAGCGTTAAAGAGAGAGAGAGAGAGAGGAGTGTGGAAAAAGAGAAAGAGAGACGAGATCCGCGAGGAATTAACGCGTCTTTAAAGAGAAAGAACGCAAGGAAGTTTAACTCGATAAACAAACGGGCGATTTTTTTTGTCTCGTCGTGGGCCGCGTTCTCTTAGGTCGCACCTTCCGCGGCTCTGGTCGTCTCGCGTCTCGTCTTTTTTCCGCCGCTTCAGATCTCGCAGAGATTACGAGTACTTACGAACGGGGACGACGCGAGGTAATACGCCCGAGC